CAGGACCGGACCATGGCTCCCGGCACCACCAACGCAGGACTCCCCGGGGGTCGCCGTGAGCCTGGCCCTCCACTGCTCAGGGGCTGCCCTGGGCTGGGTCAGGCTCAGGCCAGCACTAAGGAAGGAGCCCGTGAGGGACCGAGGGTCCGCGCTCATCGATGGCGACTTTTGCTCAGGGTGCCATGGATCAATACCGTGCTTTGCTCACCTGCTCTTTTCCCACCAACAGCAAGAAAGGGTGGGACGGAGGGCAGCAGGATTTCCTCCTCTTCCCACTTCCCTCTCCTTCCCCGCAGCCCGGATCGGCCCCGCCGAGGTCATGCTGCCTTCAGACAGTGGACGTTCTCCCCTTGGCCACCCCCAGGTTGCTGGCCGGGGATGCTGGCTGCTGCCAGGTGCGGGCCTCACAGCTAACCACAGCCACCGTGGTGCCACAGACCTGCCAGCTAGGGCAACTGGGCACCACTGCAGCCGACCCCATCTCCGAGTGAACTGGCCTGCACACAGCCAAGTTCAAGCAACTCGCAGCACCTGAAGTCCCTATCACCTGGTCACCTCGCCCCAGACCACAGCGACTCCCCTTCAGCCTAGGAGCTGGCTACCAACTCCTGCCCAAGCTCCCTCCCAGCATCGCCTCAAGCCCAGGCGCTGTGCCCACAGCCCCAGCCATGGATCCCGAGCGCAGGGAGAGACAGCAGAGAGGCCAGCACCATTTTATAGACTTTTATTTCCAAATCTGGCGCTTCCATGATACACTTTTACACAGCCGGGGGGGGGCACGGGCATCTCCCCGCTCCCTGCCCACAGAATCGGGAGATGGAGAGAGGAAAAAAAAACCCAACCAAACCCCCCAAAGAAACAAACCCAAACCCAAGGAGGATGCTCCCCAGAGCCCAGGCCACACCACTACAATCAGGGACTGAGCCACAGACTGACTCCTGCTTCTTGACCAGCCCAGCTCTGCGGGGACAGCCACCGGCTCCGCTGCTCTCTTCTTTTTTGGCACTTGTCACTTGCTCCCCGTTTGGCACCAACACAAAGCACCCTCGTGCCCAACCTGGCAGAAAAGTGGGCCCTATGGCACGGCAGGGACAGGACATGGGTACCCACCGGGGTGCCAAGGGGGTAACACGGCACTGGCTGAGGCATAGCCCAGGGCTCCGGTGCTGCACAGCCAGAGAGAAACATGTAAACAAGTTCGTTCACGAAGGCAAAGACGGGCAGCACAGAGGGGCTCAGCTGTTCCTGGCGTGCGGGGCCAGCAGGCTTTCCCTCTGCGTGCCGGTCCCAAACGGCATGTAAACATGTCAGCAGGCCCTTCCCTCCCCATCCCTGGGAGAAGGGCAGCAGCAAGCCTGCCTCATCAGGGCTGCGCTGGGGGCAGGCAGCCCCCGCCAGACCCACAGCACCCCCATCACCCAGCCCCTTTGTCCCCTCCATGTCCTCCCCACTGACTCGGGGACATAGCCAAGAGGCCTTGGCCTCCCCGGAGGCCAGCAGCACAAGTCCTCTCCTGTAAACATGTCAGGCTGGGCTGCAGTAAGAAGCTACAGCAGTGTGGTAGTAAGGCAGTAAGGAGCATGCTGTCACGCAGCCCCAAGAGCACCATGGGGGCAGCCGAGCAGACGCACCGTGCTCGGCAAGTGAAAGGGAGCATGCCGGCCCCCCGAGCCGGCTGCCCCTCGCCCGAGGCTGGGGTAGGCACAGAGGAGTGTCGCCTCGCAGCAGGGCCAGTGGGAGCCTGGGGCCAGGCACCTGGCCGAGCAGAGGAACCATCAGGGCGGCCTGAATTTCCAGAGAGGGCAAAGTGCTGTTTATCTCCGTCTCCGAAAATCCGGGCCACTCTGAGCTTGGGTCCTCTGCCAGCCAGAGAGCACAGGGACCTGTGCATATGTACGCAGAGCTCGCAGGGAACCAGCTAGATACAACTTTTGTGGGCAATATTGGACACCGAGACTGGAGCCACATCATGTTCCTGAGGATGCTAATCCTCCACAGGGTGAGTGCCGGCTCTGGGAACAGCCTAGCCTGCTGCTGAGCAGGGCCAGGGTCATCCAGCTCCTTGCCTGGACCCACAAACAAACAGAGGTTTGCTCTATAACACGCAGGTTAAAGAGTACAACATACAGTGGGTAAAAACATGGTGCTCATTTGCTGAGTGGAGGAAACCAGCACTTATAGGAGTGGGACCATCCTGGTACAGGAAGGGACTGAACAGCAAAGCTTGCTTCCTCCCCCAGCAGGTCCCTAGTGCCGAATTTGCTGCCCCACTCACTTGTGCTCTCGCTGGCACACAGCCCTGGCTCACAGACTGGGGGCAACCCCAAGGGGGGTCCCATGGGAGGGCAGGGGGGGGAGGGGGCCTGGCTGCAGGCCCAGCACAGCTGCAGGGGGCTGAGGGACGCCAGGCAGGAGGACGGCGCTGAGACACATGTGGAGCTGCACGGTGGGAGGGTGAGAGGGGCAGTGGGGCCAGCTGCCCTGCAACAGGGATGGGACAGAGCAGTGCTGGCAAAGCCATGAGGGCTGCCTGGCACTGTCCCTCCGGCCCACCGGGATCACAGTTCCTGGCACCCCCAGGGAAGCTGGCAAAGGGCTGTTGGTGAGACAAATGCTCCAGGTCCTGGGAACAGACCATCCGTAAAAATAACCATAGAAATTTCTCTTCTCTCTGATTACAAAGATACAAAAAGGTAGAAAACCCTC